CTTTCTGCGTAAGGATTGGCTATAAAGTGAAAGTGGGTCAGGATATGGCTATAAACTGAAATCACTTTGTCAGATTGGCTATTTTTGTAAATTTCCCTTTTTACTTATTGATACAGATTGTAGAGTTTGAAGGATGTACTGGTCATTAACTAGAATCTTGTTCCTTCATAACTTTGTGTATGTGTTTTAAGCAGACAAACACTGCAAAACGTACCACTTGCTGAGACTGGAACAGGACGGTAATGTTGAAGAACTCCRCTTGCAGGCAGAAATCCTCTTGGCACATTTTCAGCATATATTCGGGCTTCAAAAGCATGCCCTGCMAATTGAAATTAAACAAAGAAACCATATATATCAAAAGCCTCGGTGAACAGCCAGAGCAAAAATAGAAAATGGAAAGGCCCTTTTAACCATTTTCATTAGGGGTGTTCAAAAAAACCGTTGGACCGGTCATACCGGTCAAACCAAGTCAACCTGGACCGTTTTTGGCGGTTTGAGCGGTCTGGCGGTCCAGTCCGAAAAATTGTCAAACTGCTCGGTCCGATCTGCGGTTTGAACATTTTTTTGAGCAGTCTGGACCAAATCGACCCCCAAATATACACATATATTAGTTGCATTTAGTTTTCATGTTATAGATTCAACTTTATGGCACAATTAGAAAAAGGGTCATCCAAGACATTATGTTTTAGTTTTCATTTCTCCATTGACCGCATCTATCTAAATTGGAAAATTCCTAAGTCTGTACAAAATCAAATACAAAATTCTAAATCGTCCTTCCACTTGCTCAATGTTTGTCAAAAATTAAATCTATTGTAGTGGACTTGTTTAACATTTTTCCAACTTGCTCAATGTTTTTATTTATAGAGATAGATGTATTTATTATCATTTGATATCCTAGTTTTTAATAAAGTTATATTGGTAAAAGTTTCGTTTTGAATATAGATGTTATGTTTTTCTTAGTTTAAAGCCCATAAGAGGCCCAAACTGGTCAAACCAGACCGCCATTTTGTAGTCTGGTTTGATCAATGACCTGGTTTGGTTTGTGGTTTGGGGGGTTAAACCGCCCAAACCGGACCGTGAACRCCCCTAATTTTCATGCRTTGTCAGCCTCCATCCRACCCCTGAYGTGCAAATCTTTCCTGCACTATTACTGAGAGTTATAAGAAAACCTTAACTCAAAGCAAGTACTTGCATTTTCTTGAAACAAAATATGAAAAAAAAAATATATATATATATATATATATATATATATATAAAGCAAGCACCAATTCACCTGATATAGGAATCTGTGCTTGACCAAGGGGGAGCGATTCTCCATTTGCAACACGAATTTGCCACTCTACAAGATCTTGACCAACAATCATCTCAGTCACAGGATGTTCAACCTGAAAAAGAATCGAGTATGTCATGATTAACTACCACCTATCCTTCACATGTGAATATAAAGAGATGGCACAAGAAAATTACCTGAAGACGCGTGTTCATCTCCATAAAATAAAATTCCCCAGAGAGAGTATCAACAATGAACTCAACTGTGCCAGCATTGTGATAACCAACCGCCTTCAATAATCAGACAGAAGCTACCAAATCAGTAAAATCATTGAAAATATCTTATTGTCCTTCGGTTACAACCAAGATATAAGCATTTTACTAAGGGGAAATTGACAAAAATAGCCAATACATCAAAGTCAATTCACTTTTTGCCATGTCATCAATCCACTTCCCCAAATAGCCATAGTTTATGCAGAAATGCGTAAGGATTGATTTCGGCCAAAATAATGTAAAAACAAACCTTACGAAGAAACCCCTTTCTGCGTAAAGATTCAAATTTCTGCATTTTTTTCCAGAAATCAAATTTCTGCATAAGAATTCAAATTCTGTGTAAACTTTGGCTATTTTGGGAAGAGGCTCTGAAAAGTGGCTAAAAAGTGAATTTGGTTGGGATTGGCTATTTTGGTCAATTTCCCTTCAATTAGATAGGATTCATACTTCAGAGTTGACATAAAAAGGTGTCTCACAAAATTTTATGGTTTATATCAAATCATAAACCGCAGATAAATCCACAGTCCATTACTTTTCTGCAAGTGTTTTAAACTTTACTTGCACATAAATAGCTTCAGTACCTACAAAGCTTATAAAGTACAAACTTTTTGGCAAAATCTAGATATCCATCTTACCCAGGGAGATAATTTAATGAATACCCTATTTGAGTAACTCGTTCTATACTTGTATTAGCGACAATAATGAAGCTCTGTGCAAAATTGTCATAGGCTCCTTAG